ACAGTTTAACGAGTACCGTTACTGCGCACCCTCGATTCCTACGCTGGCTGATCAAAATGGTCACCCACCCGCCAACTGACCGCAGCCAAAGATGCTTGACTCTACTGGGAACAGCGTCTTTGCGATCAGTCCAGTGCGGAACAAGTAATGAAAGTAAAATAAGGTCTAACCGCACTGCTCTTTACGTATAACAGGTTTAACTATTTTAAATAACATTTGATTAAAGAAAGTACGAATAACGAGAAGAAGAAAAAAAAGCGGATTTCTTAATGACCTTACATTTTCTTCTTTGCTGTCTTTTAACAGCTTATTGTACTCTTTTGCAAAAATTATGAAGGGAGAAAAAAAAGCATCACAGTCTCAATTATGCAAAATACCCTTTTACTCCGTTGTGTTAGTGCCTCTTGTCAGAAGGCCAAGGTTTCCAATAGCGAATCAGAATACCAATTACCTGGTGAAAAAAAGAGAATTTTTTTTTTGAATTTTTGACAGATATTTTATTTCTTTATTTATTTTTATATTCTGTAGTAATGTTAACCATGTAAAAATATCCCCACCATTAAGAAGTCAATTTAGAACTATTAAAAGATACCGGCCGCGTCGCTCTTGGAACCGGTATCTGAAAATGTTGCCAGAAGACTTTCTTTTTCGCGATGACCTGTCTCCAAATATATTTCCTAACATAGTTTTTGCTTGACTGAAATTTCAGTGAGTGATGCGAATGTTAATTAGATTTGATTTTGAAACTATTTCTCCAAGGCGCTAATATCCTGTTGTCTAAAAGATCCTCAATAGAGAATGAATGCATCGATTAGAGCAAATATAAAACAAAAAGAAACCTGCAATTCAAGTGTATGTACAAACGTTAGAAAAAACGTGTTCTAATCACTTATCTGTTTAGCTACATATAAAACACGGCGATGGTTTTGGGAGCAATTTTAAGTAGTCTGGATCAACAATTTTCAATGGATTTGGAGCAGTCTTAAGAGAATTCTTGAAACTTTTGGCGATTAGCAAGACAAAAGTTTTACTCTACTAGTAAAAGTTTCTATAATTTTAATTATTAGTAGAAACCGAGCAGTCATTCCCTGCCATTTTGATAACAATTTTTATAAAATACTTTATTGATATCATGGCGAAACACTTAGAAATAGTCTAGAGCAGCAATTTTTATTGGTTTTAGAAACGCTTTGGGAGGCAGCTATTTTTTTTTTCTACAGATTTTCAATGTAGAAGTTGCACACTATATGGAATTATAATTATTAGCAGAAATCATAAATTCAAAATTTTTCAAACTTTATTTTATTTAATTTGTGAACGTCCCTTTTATTCAATGTTTTAAAAGATAAAATAAATTGGCAGGGATCTATATTTTTAGTGACTTTTCGTGTGTGTCTGGCTAACCGAAAAGTACCATTATTAGAGATGTTCATTTCATGTTCAAGGTATCGTGCAAGAATTTGTTAAAAACATCAACTTAGATTATAGGCTTTTATTTTATTTTATAACCGCCGTTGAACAATCGACACCATTTTTTTGGATTTACAACTACTTATGTTCAAATCCGTAGGCTAGTAATTTTGCACCCAATCCAGAAGTCAAAGGAAATCCTATATAAAATATTGGGAGAAATTTGACTTCGGGGAGGACTTTTTGATGGAACTAACTCACATTTGCTTTACAAGGTGATGAAAACCCAGAAAACCTCCCACGGTTAGCTTGACGGTAAGGGGACTCTAACCCATGAATCCTCTACCACTGCGAGTATTTTGCACTAGCACTGTGATCGGTGCGAGCCGGATGCGGAATTCGTATTGACCAACCATCGCTAGGATTCGAACAAGGTGCAACTAATTGGGAGGCGAGCGATCTATCCCCTGTCCGACGACCTTCTCAAGGTTAAAATGTGAATAAAAAATTAAGATAGAGAAACTAAGTTCAATCGAAATCGTTCGAATAAGTTTCAGAGAGCGGTAATGGCTACAGGAGTTCCCTTGCCTTCTGGATTGGGTTCAAAATTATAAGGGTACGGAGTTGAATATTAGTAGTCGTAAACCCAAAATTGGATCGGCAGTCCAACAATGATTATAAAATAAAATAAGCTTCAGAACGCATACAAACGAGCTTGGACGCCTGATGTAAAAAATTTTCATGTAAAAGAGAGTTTTTCTTTTCCTTTTTTTATTATTATTATTAATACTCATACCTATTGCTCGGCGTTATAAAAATCAATGCCTTGCAAAATGCTGGTTTTCATGAAACAATCTAATCTCCATCTTTTTTTTTCAAAAAAAAAAACATAAGGGAATTATTGTTTAGAGAGAGCGTCTGTAAAATATCATCTAATTATTATTATTCGTTAATGACAAATAATGTTCAAATAACATTTAAGCACACTTAAATTTGTAATAAATGCTTTTAACTTTGACATAACAGCCTAATGATAATAATAAATACAATGCTTATATTTTTATTTATATTGAGTGAAGCAAATTCTTTTCTCTTTAATCGGTACAGTAAAATATCAGTATCTACGAATAGCCTATCAGCGTAGTGGATTTGAGTCAATAAACGTTCACATTTTCTTCTTGAATTCAACTTAAAAATAAACTAGAGCTCTCCTTCGTCTTCATCACAGACGCCATTGCGATAAACAGAAATTTTTTAATAAAATTAACGTGTAATTTCGCTACTTGGAGAAGAAAACCTCGAAACCCTTAAATAATCACCGAGATGATAATAATACTCAAATAATCGACAATTTGTCTTCCACTTAGATTGATTTTAAGTTTGCTTTGCGGAAAAGTATTATCCGGAAGCAACATAAGAAATTATCAGATGTGACAGAGTTTCCATCTCTTTATCACTCTAAATTTAAGCCTTATAAAAGTGGACATTTTTGAGAAAATTTGTAAAAAAATAAATAATAATAAATAACAAACATAAAAAAGAAAATATAAAAGTGTTATTTTTAGTTTTCATTAATTTATTTATTTATTTTTGTTGTTTGTTTTTTTAAACTACATATATACAATCATTTTCTGCTACAAAAGCTGATTTGTTAAAGAATAAGGGATATAACTAACATAATTAATAAGTCATGCTTGAATGATAATGCAAGCATCATAACATTACAATTATGTTGAAGATCAGAGTATGTAAATATATATTTTTTTTTTTAAATGTAAGCATAATAATAAAAAATAAATAATGCGTATTAATCAAATTTTTATGACCATGGTACTATACAAAAGTAAGTATTGCAGAAAAAGTAGTTTTATTTGTTTTTTAAGTGACGTTTTGAGTTTTTGATACCATTAAATCTTTCACTTTTCCTTTAATATTCCATTTTTAATTCCAAAGATTTTTGGGATTAATGTTAGAAATATTACAATGTTAGAAATATATTTAATTTAATTTGAAATTAATTATTTATTTATTAAACACTGTTTTAAATTAAATTGCTTAATTTAAAAATTATTTTCAATGAAATTAAAGTTCTAAATCAAATTAAAATTATTAAATTTTAAATTGATTTTAAATTAAATTAGGCAGTTTAAACACAAAATGTTGAATGAATATTTAACAATGAACTATGAATATTTAACCTAATTAATTTCTGAAGTAATTAATTAGAAGTTCATTTAGCGATCTGCTTTACAATATAAATTTAAAATTTATGAATAAGTTTCTGAAATTAAAATTACCACTAAAATTTGAAAAACTTATTTATTATTGTAAAATTAGTATTATTCATATTAGGAAAAAATGTAAAATTTCAGAACCGTATAATTTCAAGAAACTTGTATAAAGTAAAAATAAAAAACCGTGATTTGCTCAAGAAAAAATATTATATGCTTGAATAGTCAATACCTTAATATAAAATAATCTCAATATTTATGAAATGATGTGTGGTCGGCTAAAATTGGTGAAAACTTAAATCAACTAATGCAATCTATGAATCTCTTATTGAGTGAATGTTATATTGCATCACTAAATTAAAAGAGTGAAAAATAACGCTATATATTGTATATACATGGCAACATCAAAGGTCCAACATGCAGAAATGTTTCCTTTGGTAGTTCATGCTTTTATTGTAAAAATATATTTTAATCCCTTTAAAAAAAAATTTTTTTTAAAAAGAAAATCTTACCCTATTTATGGGTTAATAGTTAAAAGCCCCTCTTCCCTCACAACCTAACTCAATCTATAACGAGACGAGCGCAGGTGTGCAGACGTGACGTTAAAACAATTTTTGTTTAAATCGCTGTGATAGACTAGTGACTGCATTTTACGCGATTGGGTATTTTATTTCGAATCACATAAAATACAAGAGTAAAAAAATAAGTTAAGATATGATGACGGGAAAGAAATGCTCTGCAACAAGTTTTAGTTTAAGCTCCATTTTTTAAAATATAAAATTTATATTCCATTGCACTAAGAATTTTAATATGTAAATTAGTAGTATTTTATGGATAATTTTCAAATTCCCCGCAAAAAAATATATTTCCTTAAAGTTATCTTTACAGTTAAATATTTATGAAGAAACTAAGTTATATGTTTATTATTTTGAAAAAAAGCACAGTCGATACTTTACTATCTAAATAATTCTATTCTAGAGAGTCTAATTCGGGAAAAAAGCTGGGCTAATAAAATCTAATAAAATTTAAAGATAATACTTTTAGCTCAGATAAATTTCAATTAATATCAAAACTTTATTTTTATAAATGTCTATTTATTACCGCACTAAAACTTTTAAGCACAACATTTTACTATATATGACTTCGAATTCAAAAATGAGAAGAAAAAAAATTTTATACACTAAAATACAGTTTTTATTTCAATACAATAAAATACAATATTTATAAATTAAAATTTTAAAATTAATTTTTTTAAAATAAAATACAAGTTGCATTTTATCATAAAATCGAGCTTATAAAAAATTAACTTGATTTTTTTTCCTAAAATTTGAAATAGAATTTAAAAAAAGTTACTCTTACCTACAGCATCCCTGCCATTATGAAGAGAGGGAAAAGTGATGCCGTTTCCAAGGCAACGAGGATGAGAAGATTTTTCGTGCTTAGAGGAAACTGAAGAAAGTTCCTCTTCGTTCGAGGAAGAAGGTTCGAAAGAAACTACTGAAAAATCTTCCTTTCACTTTCTGCACCTCCTTTCTGCTTATTCGCTAAATGGATGGGGTGGTTTTAGTCACGTGACCCAACTGATGCCACTCAGCAGGGGTGATTCCCAACCTCCAAGTCATCCAAACTTTCGTTCCTCTCGACTCGCTTTTCAAGTGCAAGGTCTCGAACGAGTTCAAACTCTGTACAAAAAAAAGAAGTGCATTTTTTAATCCACTTTTTAAATCGCTTACTTTTATTTAAAAAATTTCTCAGACAAGATTGCAGTAATCAATTTTGATTTAGCATCAATAGAATAAAAATCATACTGAATTCTCACATGGATGCTCTAAATTCTATGCCCCCTATTCACTATCCCAAATGCAAAATCTCAAGAAAAGTCGAAACCTGTACAAAAAAGTGTCTTTTATTTTTTTACAAAAACGGTTAGTTTTTTTAAAAGGAATGATTTAGGCATGCTTGTAAAAGTTGGACATTCTATTGACTATTAATTCAATTTTGACTATAAAAATTACGTTAAATTGTCACATTGATGGTGTAAATTTTAAGCCTCCTGTTCTGTATTTCAATAGCAAGATCTCGGAAAGATTCAAAACCTGTGAAAATTAAAGCATTTTTTTAATTTACTTTTACAACCGTTTATTTATTTATTTGAAGTAATTATTCAGACATGCTTGTACAGTCAATTTGTACTTCAAAGTCAGTACAATAACAATTTAAACTAAATTTTTACATCGATGATTTAAGTTCCAAGCCCCCTCTTCTGTGCTTCGATAGCAAAGTCTTGAACGAGTTAGTAACACGAAAAAAAATTTTTTTTAATTTGCTTCTTAAATCACTTAGACATTTTTTAAGTATTCTTAACACATACTTATAGTAGTCAATTTTAAATTTATAGTCAGTAGAATAAAAATTACACTAAATTCTTGCATTAACTATCTAAATTCTAAGACCACTGTCCTGCATTATAATAGTAAAATCCTGGAAGTGTTTACATCCTGCAATAAGAAGTGCAATTTTTGAGTTTACTTTTTAAATCGCTTAGTTTCGTTAAAAGAAATTATTCAGAGATATTTTTACTAGTAAATTTTTTATTTTATAGTCAGTAGAATACTAAATCCTCACATCGATGGTTTAAAATTTAATTTCAGTGTAATGTATCTCAATATCTATTGTTTGAAACCTTTAAAAACGAAATTCATTATTTTAATAGACTTTTTAAATCCCTTAGTTATTTTTTAAAGAACTATTCAGACGCACTTGTGCAGTAAATTTTGATGTTATATTCAGTAGGATACTAAATTCTCATATTGATGGTTTGAAATCTAATTTATCTGTCCCGTATTCCAATAGAAAGTCTCGGAATAATTCAAAACCTTTAAAAATGAACTGCATTACTTTAATCGACTTTTTAAATAGATTAGTTTTTTTCTTTTTTCTTTTTGCTTTCTTTTCTTTTTTTAAAGAATTATTCAGACATGCTTGTAGCAGTAAACTAGATTGTCAGTATAGTATAGAGACATATTTGTAGCAGTGAATATTTAGTATTTTATAGTCAGTAGAGTACTAAATTCTCACATCGATAGTTTAATATCTAATTTCCTTGTCCTGTATCATAATAAAGTCTCGAAATGGTTCAAAACCTTTAAAGACGAAGTACATTATTTTAATCAGACTTTTTTTTGTGTGTGTGTGCGTTTTTTTTTTTTTTTTTTAATCACTCAGTTTATCTAAGTGAGTTATTCAGATTCCTTTAAAGAAATCTAAATAACTTCTTTATCGTCAATAGAATAAAAATTATGGTAAACGCTTATTATTTCATCATTCAGTATACAATTAATATACAGGGTGTCCAATAAGTTTGCATGTAGTGTTTATATCCTAACACACATAAAATAAAAATTCTAGTACTTAACAATTTATATCATAAAATTTTGAATGAACTAAATAACTACTAAAAATGCCGTTGGTAACAAAACTGTAGACCCTTAACTCTCATGACCCCCCTGGCCCACAGCGGGCTGCTGCGGGAATGCTTTACTTTTAAATAACTACTAAAACTAAATGATGTATTGTGCACTATTTAAACAATTTCAGAGAGTAATAGAATGAGTACGTAAAAAAATGTCTTAAAAAGGATTTTGTGAATGCAAATTGCGTTAGCTTTTCGAAAAGAATAAGGCTTATAAGAAAACTAATAAATAGAGTAATTACAATCCATTTTCAATAAGAATTTTATACATTGTATTGCTCCTTGTACTCTAAGCAAAATCAAAATACTTTTAACATTTCTGCGGATTCTTTTGTTTGAAATTGTATGAGAATTTACTTAGCACTCTGTATCTAAGAAACAACTAACAAGGATCAAACTATTCGACTAAAATGAGTCTCAAAAATCCCAAATCCTTTACACTATTCATGACACTTAAATTTTCCAAATTTACTACTTTTTAAAGTCTTAAATATGCCATATGATCTACTTTATTAAAGAGTCAAGATGGAGAAATTTATTCATGTCTTAAATATCAAATTCACGCACCATTAATAGCAATTTAAGAACATTAATTCTCTCCGCTCTCGTCCTAAATTTCATTTTATTTTCCATTAAAAAACACTTTTAAGCATCCTTCAAATTGAAACATGTTGACATGTTCACAATTTACTACCATGGAAGTGTGATGCGCGCAACATTAATTTGATCTACGCATTTTGTGGAATAAATAATTAAACTTTTTGAAGTATCACACCTTTCTTAAGCGGCTCTTAAGAATTTCAATACAGAACTGTCAGCTTCCAATCAAGTTTAATATTAAAACTTTTTTATTTCAAAAAAATGAGATAATTAGCTTCTTGAAAATTCATGTCAGGAAGACATTTTGTATTCTCATTTGGCTAGAAAGATACTCTGAGTGTATTTTGACCTGGCGTATTAAAACATACACCAAAACGTGACCTGACTTAAATTGAAAAATCCGGGGTGTGTTTTTATCAGCCATTTGAAGCTCATTTAAAATCGCGCTGCTGAACTCATTTTAGTACTTTAATCTCAACACTACTTTTCAACACTTGTTTTCATTAAAAGAAAAGCATTTTTATTTATCCATCAGAAAATTACATGTTAGGATGCAAAGATTATTATTATTACTTGTTTATAACATTTAGAATGATATGAGGGAGAATAATCTCCCGAACAAGTTGATAGATAACACATTCAGTATTCAATGTCTTAATATAATATATTCTCATATTGAATTTAATGAGTGGCAGATTATGCCATCTCTGAAAACATTTAACCCTTTGCTTCTATTGCAAACCATACGCATTGGAACGTGATTAAAATACAAATGATTCAATAACAACTGCTCAGATATTAAAAAATCAAACTGAATGAATTAAAATACCTAAATATATAATTATACCATCAATATTTTGGTAAATTGTTTTTGGAATAATTTTTTTTTGTGCTAAATCAATCTTAAAAGAACATTATTTGAAGCATGAAAATTGAACATTAAATTCCAATGACTTTTTATCGCTGTTAGAAAATGTAGAATAAATATAATATCATTAAAAATTATTGAAACTTAAAATGGCAGAATTGTGCTATAAATCAGTATAATGATTCATCCATTTGATTTCACGGTAATATGGTACAACCTAAACAGAAACATAGTTCAATTTCACATCTGATTAAGATTCCACATAAGTTGAAATTCAATATTATGGTTCAAAAAACTAAGGTATCCTCAGTGAAAAAAATTTAGTCCCAATAGCTTTATTAAGAAAGTAACTGAAAATTTGAGCACCACACTGAGAAAATAAGTGCAGTCAAATCTACCAGAATATGGCAAAGATTACCGTGTTTCTTGCACTAGGGGAGCACCGAAGCGCTCGGCGGTTATTTTTACCGGAGAGCTTTGGTAATGATTTTGAAAAATTAACATTAAAATATGGTAATCTATGATAAAATTTGGTTAATGTGATTTTAACATAATATCCTGGTAGACATAAAAACCATTTATTCGATTAAATTTACTTTTCAGTTCTGTATGGTAATAAGAACTATAGTTAGAAAACCAGCACACCCACATATTTCCGGTAAATCATTACCATATTAATGGAAAAATTATCAAGGGAATGGTTTAAATACTATACATTCTGGCTTTATAAACCAGAAAAATAAATATTATTTTTTTTTTCACATTTCCGGTAAATCATTACCATATTAATGGAAAAATTATCAAAGGGACTGGTTTAAATACTATACATTCTGGCTTTATAAACCAGAAAAATAGATATTGTTTTTCTTTACCAGAAACGTCATTACCATAAAGTACGGTGATTTTGTTTAGAAATATTTTCTCCGTGCATAAGAATATAATTTCGGTAACATGTGTTCATTATTTTATCTCCTGAACTAAAGGAATAATTTGATTGATTTTCATAAATAAAAATTTATTACTCAATATTCTCAAATCGTTTCCTGGATTGATGATTTATAAGCATTGTTTCCATAATTCAATGTCATCTGTTGCTTGCCTGAAAAATATTTTTTCTAGAAGATGGTAGAAACTTTTACATAATTTTTCTATGTTGCATAAGCATTAGTAGATACTTTTGAAGAACAAAAAAATACAAAAATTTAAGCCATATGAAAAAAATGCAAAAATATAAGTCATGTTAAAAAAATACTTTCAAAGGGAAATAAAACATTACAATTATTATAAAAATAAAATTAGCTATTCAAAAAATTCGAAAACGTTTTTCTTAAAAATTACTTTGAGAAAAGATGATACGTGTCAGGAGTGCAAAGAAAAAAAATTTGCCTCAATAGATTTACAATGGATTACAGTTAAATATTACATGGATTACTCAATAGATTACAAGTGACTGAAACTTAGAGCCCCTCAATAATGCAATTTTTTTACATTTTGTATTTTTCCCCTTATCTGTAAAACTAATAGCGTGAATCGATTACTGTTTAACAGTCAATTGAGTGCTTGCAACTTGAATAGAAATTAAGTGATTATTTCTAACTGTGGGACTTAAATCAGATTTAATTGGATACCTTTAAGCTACGTCACACGTGTGTGTCGAACCTGATTGAATCTACAAATGCCACGACTTACATACGATGACTCGCATCTATGCAATT